TGACCATTTTAGCCATAGGGGTTTCTTGCGTAAGAAATTCATGTAGCCTGTCTACATTGCCTTCTTGTGGAAGAGGTCTTGTGCAAGAGGGCTTATTCCTTGCGGGGAGAGGAATAACTCTTCTGGAAGAAGCCCTGTTTTCTGATTCTGTACTGTAAACTTACTTGTGCAAAAATGCACGTGCACTATAGACGCTCTGCAAGTTTTTGCACAAGAACAGCCGTTCTTGAGCAAGAAGCCTGCAGTGTAGACGTAGCCTGGGAGACAAGGTACTATTATTCTAGGAGGGGTGGGTGAGATTCTGTGGCCTGCATTGTGCAGGGGGTCAGACTAGATGATCACAACGGTCCCTTCTGACCTTAAAGTCTATGAGTCTACTGCAGGAAGTGGAAGACCCAGTTGGCAGCGCCCCACTGACTTCTGGTTAATCCAGCTGCATAATTTAAGGCTGGAGGGAGTTTCAGGAAGCTGTCTGTGAGACAAGGCACTGTGATCTACTGTGGAGACAGCCCCTGCTTGAGGTCCTGGATCCTTGCTTGGTTCCAGCCTTGTTGCAGCCTCACTCCTGCCCCAGAGCCAGCACGTCTCCTGTCTTCCCTGACTCCAGGTACCCCAGTTCTTTCTGGCTTAGATTTCTACCTCTGACTCTTATTTGACCCATGGCCCAGGCATTCTGCTTCTGCCTCAGATTCCTACTCTCAGCTCCATGCCCACTGCTGGACTTCTAACCAGTAGGCATGACTGCGCAAGCTCTGATTCTTGACACTGTGAGCCTAATTGTTTGCTACCTGGCATAAATCACTATCCCCTGTGGAAAGAGAATGCAAAACATAACCATTCTGATCTGGAAACATTTAACATCTGCTTTGCACAAAAGCAAATGCCACATCTAGAGCCAAGACACCACAAAATCAGAGACTTTTGTTTGCATACATAACCCTCTGGTCACAGGGCGTACGTATACGCAGCAACATTATTTCAAAATAACAAAGTGAGCATCTACACAGCAAGCCCATTTTTTCAAAATCTGTACCCTCATTTCACAAGGAATAACACCTATTTCAAAATAGTTATTTCAAAATAGGGCATGTGTAGACAGCACCATTGTGGCGATTTCAAAATAAGGGGCCTCTGGGGCTTCCCACAGGGGCCCTGCTGGCCACTCTGTCCACACTCATCAGTTCCTCTTCCCCATAGGCTTTAAAGGTGCAGAAGCAGGGAAAACAGTGTGCAGTGCACAGCAGGCCCTCCTCGCACCGTGCCATGCAGCAGCCATTCCTGTCTTCCTTGGTGCTATGGCAGACCAAAGCACTGCACCTGAGCCCCCCAAGGCTGCCAACACAGCTGTAGGCAGGTCTCAAGTCCCTGACTCCGGGCAGAAGAGGCAGGAGCCTTCCTGGTCTGGTGCGGAGATCCTGGATCTCATTGAGACCTAGAGAGAGGAGGCGAACCTCCAGGATCTCTGCATAGATGTAGGAATGTGGACATTTATGGCTGGATGGCCGATAGTCTGGGACAGAGGGGACACATCCACATCCAGGAGTAAGCATGGATGAAAGTGAAGGAGCTGAGGCAGGCCTATACCAAGGCTAGGGCGCATAGGTCTTGCTAAGGGGCAGCATTCCTGAGCTGCCAATATTACGACCAGCTCCACCATATCCTGGGTGGAGAGTCAGTCCCTCCCCTCCAGGTGTGGTCTCTGGCTGGAAGACGCCCATTGTTACCCTCCCGGAGGGCAGGTCTGCAGCCGAGGAGGAGGAGGAGGAGCAGGCCTTGGGATCCATGATGCTGGCCAGCCGGGATCTCACCCCATCCTTGGAGCTGTTACCACCCTCCCAGTATGTTGCCCAGAGATCAGCCAATGCAGCAGATGGCCCATCAGATGAGCAACATCTGTCCCTAGACACTCGGGGGGAAGCGGCAGGCAGTAAGGTGTTGCACACTCCTCGCTTCACATTCTCGGCCCGGGCATGGCGCAGCAGCCTGTGTATGTGGGTGCACATGGATCACCGGTCCTGAGCACTCCGCCCCAGGAGGATGCCATAGAGGACCCTTGTGCTCCTGCTCACAGGGTGCCTGCACAGGCCTGCCTTAGTCCCAAAGCCATGATGGGACACCCTCCCACCGCAAGCCACCACTAAGAAGGGCAGGGTCCTGGACACACACACCGAGCAGTGCCGCAAACGGCACATAGTCAGAACCTCACTCTCAGGGCAGCATCCACTCCCAGACAAGCATGGTGAGGTGGAGGACAATGAGCTTCTGCTAGGGGAGCCTTCTGGGTGGGGAAGGAAGTGGAGGGGAACCCAGTAGCACCCTCCCAAGCAGGAGGCGTCTGCCACTGACACACCTCCCCCAACACCCTCCTAACCCCACCTCCAGCAGGTAGGGATACAATTCTTCTCCCTGCGGGACGCCACCACTGCCAGTCCTGGCATGTGCATGGTACAGAGGGAAGCCGAGTTGTCCCATTGCCCCCCTCCTGCCCGCAGGCTCCCGGCCTGTCTGGCACCTTCCCATGCCTGCTTGTCCCCAGGACATGGGGGAAGTGAGGTTCCCACTGGGGACATCTGTGCCCCTGCAGGAAAGGGCGTGCTCTGTAGGCCACAGATGGCCTTGTTCCAAGCACATCGCCTTCGTCCGACCCAAGGCTTTTCGATGTAAGCTCAGAGATGAGGGCTGGCTCCAGGCACCCTGTCTCCTGGGATGACTGCCCTTCACTTTGTTCTTCACAGCTGGACCAGCTGTGAGTGAGGTGCCCAGGACACCTCCCGTGCCAGCCTCCAAACCCTGTGGGAGCTGCCACCACAGATGAGCCCACAAGAAGCTGGAGTGGGAGCACATCGCTGCCCTGCGTGGCCTCCAGAGGTCTCATGGACGTGGAGCTGTGCTGCATTATCTGCTGGGAGCTTTTTCAGCTTACACCACTGCTGTCGACCACCTGCTGGTCACTCCTGCCCCTCACCCTAGCACCCTCCCAGGCTGCTGAGGGCCCAACACACATGGTGGTGGGACCACCTTAGCCCAATCCCTGAGCTTCTCCTCCCCCCTTCTTTCCCCATCCTAGGTTCTTTCCCCAGGTACATTTACCCCATTTTTTTTTTAAAAAGTCTGCTTTATTGTATCAACTGTGGGAGGGGGAGAGAGGGAAGAGAGGCACCCTGGGGCAATGCACAGGCCTCTTGTGGGGAAGCCTGGGAAGAGTCTCACTGGGGTCGTTGTGTGAAACTCTCCCTCAGGGTTTCTCGGATGCACACAGCCCCCTGATGGGCCTGCCAGATGGCAGCCATGTGTGGCTGCTCAAAGGCCTTTCTGAGCTACTTGGCCTCTGCCCCCCACCCTTGCAGGAATGTCTCCCCCTTTTTCTCACAAATATTGTGCAGGACACAACAAGGCGCCACCACTTGGGGGACATTCTGCACGTCGCGGTCAAAACAAGTGAGAAGGCAGCAGAATCTCCCTTTCAGGTGCCTAAGGATGCCCTTCACCACAATGTGGGCCCTGCTAAGCCTGACATTGAAACGTTCTTTGCTTTGGTCCAGGTGTCCCATGTAGGGATTCATCAGCCAGGAGAGCAGAGGGTAGGCTGCGTCCTCCCCATGCACATTGGCATGTCAATGTCTCCAAACCTGATGATGTGGTCGGGAAAAAAAGTGACAATGTGCATCTTCTCATAGAGGCTGGAGCTGCGGAAGACTTGGGCGTCATGCACCTTCCCTGACCACTCGATGTTGATGTTTGTGAGCCAGCCTTGGTGGTCCATGGGGGCCTGCAGGGCCATAGAAAAGTACTCCTTGTGTCTGATATAGTTGGGTGCCTGGGGGTCAGGAGCCTGGATGGGAATGTGGGTGCTGCCAATGCCCCCCCCCCTGCAGTTGGGGAAGCCCATGGCAGCAAATCTGGTGATATGGGGATCCATGTTGCCCAGGTGGATGATCCTGCAGAGCAGGATGGTGTTGATGGCCTCACCACCTGTAGAAAGAGACAAACAGAGACTCACAGGGTTGCCAGGGCCATCAAGGGGGTCCCTGAGTCCAACCCGCCCTCCCCCATCCCTCAGATACCATTCTACCACTCCCTCCCCCTTCCCTAGGGAATCCCATTCCAGCAGTTCACCACCCTCCTGGGACAAGCATGGTGAGGTGGAGGACAATGAGCTTCTGCTAGGGGAGCCTTCTGGGTGGGGAAGGAAGTGGAGGGGAACCCAGTAGCACCCTCCCAAGCAGGAGGCGTCTGCCACTGACACACCTCCCCCAACACCCTCCTAACCCCACCTCCAGCAGGTAGGGATACAATTCTTCTCCCTGCGGGACGCCACCACTGCCAGTCCTGGCATGTGCATGGTACAGAGGGAAGCCGAGTTGTCCCATTGCCCCCCTCCTGCCCGCAGGCTCCCGGCCTGTCTGGCACCTTCCCATGCCTGCTTGTCCCCAGGACATGGGGGAAGTGAGGTTCCCACTGGGGACATCTGTGCCCCTGCAGGAAAGGGCGTGCTCTGTAGGCCACAGATGGCCTTGTTCCAAGCACATCGCCTTCGTCCGACCCAAGGCTTTTCGATGTAAGCTCAGAGATGAGGGCTGGCTCCAGGCACCCTGTCTCCTGGGATGACTGCCCTTCACTTTGTTCTTCACAGCTGGACCAGCTGTGAGTGAGGTGCCCAGGACACCTCCCGTGCCAGCCTCCAAACCCTGTGGGAGCTGCCACCACAGATGAGCCCACAAGAAGCTGGAGTGGGAGCACATCGCTGCCCTGCGTGGCCTCCAGAGGTCTCATGGACGTGGAGCTGTGCTGCATTATCTGCTGGGAGCTTTTTCAGCTTACACCACTGCTGTCGACCACCTGCTGGTCACTCCTGCCCCTCACCCTAGCACCCTCCCAGGCTGCTGAGGGCCCAACACACATGGTGGTGGGACCACCTTAGCCCAATCCCTGAGCTTCTCCTCCCCCCTTCTTTCCCCATCCTAGGTTCTTTCCCCAGGTACATTTACCCCATTTTTTTTTTAAAAAGTCTGCTTTATTGTATCAACTGTGGGAGGGGGAGAGAGGGAAGAGAGGCACCCTGGGGCAATGCACAGGCCTCTTGTGGGGAAGCCTGGGAAGAGTCTCACTGGGGTCGTTGTGTGAAACTCTCCCTCAGGGTTTCTCGGATGCACACAGCCCCCTGATGGGCCTGCCAGATGGCAGCCATGTGTGGCTGCTCAAAGGCCTTTCTGAGCTACTTGGCCTCTGCCCCCCACCCTTGCAGGAATGTCTCCCCCTTTTTCTCACAAATATTGTGCAGGACACAACAAGGCGCCACCACTTGGGGGACATTCTGCACGTCGCGGTCAAAACAAGTGAGAAGGCAGCAGAATCTCCCTTTCAGGTGCCTAAGGATGCCCTTCACCACAATGTGGGCCCTGCTAAGCCTGACATTGAAACGTTCTTTGCTTTGGTCCAGGTGTCCCATGTAGGGATTCATCAGCCAGGAGAGCAGAGGGTAGGCTGCGTCCTCCCCATGCACATTGGCATGTCAATGTCTCCAAACCTGATGATGTGGTCGGGAAAAAAAGTGACAATGTGCATCTTCTCATAGAGGCTGGAGCTGCGGAAGACTTGGGCGTCATGCACCTTCCCTGACCACTCGATGTTGATGTTTGTGAGCCAGCCTTGGTGGTCCATGGGGGCCTGCAGGGCCATAGAAAAGTACTCCTTGTGTCTGATATAGTTGGGTGCCTGGGGGTCAGGAGCCTGGATGGGAATGTGGGTGCTGCCAATGCCCCCCCCCCTGCAGTTGGGGAAGCCCATGGCAGCAAATCTGGTGATATGGGGATCCATGTTGCCCAGGTGGATGATCCTGCAGAGCAGGATGGTGTTGATGGCCTCACCACCTGTAGAAAGAGACAAACAGAGACTCACAGGGTTGCCAGGGCCATCAAGGGGGTCCCTGAGTCCAACCCGCCCTCCCCCATCCCTCAGATACCATTCTACCACTCCCTCCCCCTTCCCTAGGGAATCCCATTCCAGCAGTTCACCACCCTCCTGGGACACTAGCATGAGAGCTCCATACTTGCATGACCACTACCCTACTGGTTGATCTCCCCATGCCAAACTGGTTCCCGACAGAGCGGTAGTTGTCTGGCATGGTGCCTTTCCCCAGAGCTATGGGGACCCACTTTTGGGCGGGGGGGTCTCATGTGGGTGTCCCATTGTGCGAGGGCAGGGGTGAGCCATTCACACAGTTCCAAGGAGGTGTCCTTCTGCATGCTGAAATTCTGGAGCCATTGCTGGTCATCCCACCGTTCCATGACGATCTGGTCCCACCAGTCGGAACTGGTATTCGGTTGCCAGAAAAGGTGATTCATGGTGTGCAGAGAAAGGTGGGAGGGGTCGTGCTGCATGAGCAGCATGTGGAGAGAGGAGAGGAGGTACTCCTCAATGAGCTGGGGGTTCTGTTCCTGCAGGGCCACGAGGGCAGCCTGCAGTAACTACAGCAGGAGGTGTGGCATAGGGCAGGAGTGCTGTGGTGTCTGCACGGGCAACCCAAGCAGGCAGTGGAATGGGTTTCCTGTCCCTCAAGGAGGTAGGCAAAGGAGAGGAGCCTGAGACACGGCTGTACAAGCGGGTCCCTTTAAGCTCAAGCCTCAAGAAGCAGTTCAAGAAGTGAGTGCTGTCCTGATGCCCTGTCTGAAGTGCTTCTGGGTGGCCTTAAATGCAATTCAGTGTCCAATGAGTGTGGACGCTCTATTTCAAACTAGCTCAGTGCTATTTCAATGGGCATTTGCAGTGTAGATAGCTTATTTTGAAATAGTACATTTCAGAGTTTCTATTCTGAAATAACCCTGCAGTGTAGACGTACGCTAAGGGCTACATGTTCCCCCTTGATCCACTATCATGTACACTCTTACTCTAGTCAGTAGCCAGCCCAGGGCCTGTTTCTAACTCTACTGTGTATTTCTGAAATACAAGAATGTGAACAATACTTGGTAACTTTTCAGAATGGGAATGATGAAAGGTAAAGATCAAAGGAGAGAGCCATCAGATAGCTGTAATGAGCTCTGTGGAAACCAAATTATTAAATGTTTTGCATTTGAATTAAAACCACATAATCTTGTCACCTGAATGCTAATTGCACTGCCATGTATATGAAAATATATTTTTTAAAAAGTCTTAATTATGTTTATAAAACTGATAATTTATGTTCCATCAAATAAAGCACAGGACGAATCCTTTGGGAGTAAATCAACCTCTTTGCTAATCTGTAGCACTATAGGAGGCTAAAAGCAATGTCTTTTTATAAGCTGTTGCCCAATAAGTCATAAGGTTTTAGAGCCATAGGCCTTGAACCAAGTCCTTTGCACTGCTTCAGCAGTGCAAAGCACGTCTAAAACCTTTAAGATTTTAAGCCTCTGAGTCCATGGTGAATCAGCTGTAGTTGCCTCTATACTGACCTCAGCAGGCCCACCTACTTGTAGTGAGGTGATGAAGAAGAAAGGGCAGTATAGCTGGCATCCTTACACTCTGCAGATCCCCCAACTGCATGACTACTACTCAGGAACAAAGGACAATAATCTTGGAACGCTGGGATAGTGCAGACCGGACCACTGTCCTGGGGCCATAAAGGTTGCGTCAAAGTACCAGCAACAGGGGAGTGGCAGTTGGCTGAGGGAGGGCCTGCAACCGTGGGGCCTGGTTTTGTTCCTTTATCCATTCACACATCCAGGCGGAGTTCCTCTGGGCAGCGTCTGCCGGCTTCCTCAATACTTCCAAGGAGCACTGGGCACTCTTCAGGGCTCTACTTGGTGTCCCCTTCTAGCGCCCTTCTTTTGACCCTTTGACCATCACATCTGCCCCAGTTTTCTTTTTATTTGTCCCCAGTACTCATTTGGTTTCCTGGGCTCAGTGGATCCTCCCCATATGCTGGGGACAGGTCCTTTAGCTGTGGGCAGGCTTATCAATACCCACTTCCCAGAATCCAATAGGGCTTATTCCCTCTTAGACATGGAGTTAAGTGCCCATTAGGGCACCTATGACTGTCTCCTGGCCAGAGGAGAGGGAGCTAGGTCAAGATAATTAGGCACCTGGGCCTTATAAGGAACTAATGGGAGCTCAGCAGGGAAAGTCTGCAAAGAAAACAGCATTTTGTTGTAAAAAGAACACTCCTCCTCCTCCGGCACCCCTGGGAGTTGATCAGTGGAGAGCTCTGAGATGTGGCCTAAGCAGACAAGAAACTATCTAAGTGCAGGGTAGGCCCATGATATAGGATTAGTAAAACAAGAGCATGAGAGGGGAGAAGACTTATGAGTTCAGCAGAGAAGAGAGAAGCTAGAGGACTCAGAGCCAACGTGAGGCTGTGTAAATCACAAGCTATGGGAAGCAACACAAGACGACTTGGTGATAGGAAGCAGCCCATGGAAACAGCAGCATGTGTGGAGAAGCAGAGCTTGTTTCTTGTTAAAGGCTCTCTGGGCTGAAACCTTGGGTTCCTCTACCAGCTCCAAAGAAGGGGCAATCAAGCCCAACGTACTCAATATTGGGTCCAGAGTGGCTGAAGATTGACCCCTAACAGATGGGCTGAGGAATAACTCAAGGGAAGGGGCCGAAGGCTCTTTCATGTTGAAACCATTTTGTGGACTTTTAGTTGAACTTTTTTGTTACCTTGGAAGGAGACTAGACATACCCTGGCTGGAGGACAGAGGCAGGGAAGATCCAATGAGAGGCAGATGGCCTTCAAGAGTTGCTGAAGATGAGGTCCTCTTACTGATGTCAGGGTGCAATGGATGGTGAGTATCCTGTATTAAAGAATCTTTGCCACCTCTCCTAACCCTTAGCTGTGCTAAGCACAGTGCAGCTGGACCAGAGGATCTGTCCCACAACCTTATGCTATATAAGCTTTCTGTCCTAGACTTTAGAACTCTACTCCTCTGTTTTCTTGGAAAGGTTTATGGTGAAATCCTGGTTCTGTAGTGAGTGGAGACAGGATTTCACCCCATTGTTCATCTGAAGTAGATTCAGCACTGGGGCCTATTACAATCTATGCAGGGTTCCTCTCAAATGTAAATATTTAATTCTTCTGTTCAGTAGCTCTGTGAGCTATGAGTGAGTTGTGCAAGTAGTGATGGCTGTGTTGTGAATTAATGAAGACTATTAGGGTATGTCTACACTACCCCGCTAGTTTGAACTCATGGAATGAGGAGTAACGGTAGTTCGAACTAGGAAGCCTAGTTCGAACAACCTAGTTCGTGCCCCGTGTAGCCGCGCTGCACGGGGTTCGAACGAGCGGGGTTTTAAAAATGGCGGCTCCCCGCTTATGCAAATGAAGCCCGGGAAATTCAAATCCCGGGCTTCATTTGCAAGTGCGGTATGCCTACATTACCCTCCTAGTTTGAACTAGGAGGGTAGTGTAGACATACCCTTACTTCCTGGCTTTTCTGCTTTTGAAAGTTCAGTTTTGGAGAATACTTTCTGGCTTCTTTACAGTAGGGGACTATAAGGAAGCAGAAAGAACTGAATTCCTGCTTTCAAGGAAAGAAAACTATTACATCAATCAATAACTCTTTCAAATCTTTTCTTCACACTATAAGTGAAAACAGATCAAATGTCTTTTAAAAAATACAGTAGAACCTCAGAAGTAACAACACCAGAGCTATAACTTGACCAGTCATCCACACATCTCATTTGGACCCTGAAGTACATAATCAGGCAGCAGCAAAGACCAAAAGAAGGATAGTTCTGTGTTATACTACACTAAAAAGTAAGTGTGTGTGTGTGATGAAGGGGAAGCAGCATTCTCCTTTTGCATATAAACTTCAAAGTTGTAGTAAGTCTAAGTTAAGTTGTAAAGTTCTGGAAGCAAACTCAAACATCCTGTTCAGAGTTACAAGTAACTCCATTCCCAAAACGTTCACAAATAGAAGCTCTACAGTAGAACCTCAAACTTTATCAAATGTTTGACCCCGTCACTGAAATGCAGTCTGCTCTGGATTGGAATGTGTCAGCTGTGTAACAGTGTACAGCAACACAAAATGACTTTGAGAGGCAGTGATTAATAATACCAGTGGAAACCTAATGGCAGTTTAAGCAGATAGAACTTAATTGTAATTTGCCTTATGCAAGAGAGGATATGGAACTCTTCTCTATTATGTTATGAAGTGGATTTTTTATTGAGGCCACTGGAAACAGGCACAAATATGTAGCTGTCTCTGACTCCAGACTATTTGAACGCAGCTTGTGCTACCGAAGGTCACTAGACTGAATCTCCTTAAGTCATCCCCTGGACTCAGAAGTTATGGAAAGGCATGATGACTGCAGTATCATAACGACACATTCTGTGATTTCACCAAGACGTCTGGATTACATCCCCTAATCTTAGGGGAAACTAACCTAAAGCATGCTGGTTCTAGCATTGCCCAGACAAACAAGAGCTACATTCACCTCTGGCTACGTCTACACTGGCAGCTTCTTGTGCAAGAACTCTTTTGTGGAAGAGTTCTTGTGCAAAAACTCTTCCAGAAGAGAGTGTCTACACTGGCATGTGCTTTTGCGCAAGAGCATCCATGCCAGTGTAGATGCTCTCTTGTGCAAGAAAGCTCTGATGGCCATTTTAACCATAGGGCTTTCTTGTGCAAGAAATTCATGTTGCCTGTCTATACTGGCCTCTTCTGGAAGAGCTCTTGTGTAAGAGGGCTTCTTCCTGAGCGGGAGCATCATAGTTCTTGCGCAAGAAGCCCTGATTTCATTCATTAGAATGTCAGTTTACTTGCGCAAGAACACGCAGCCAGTGTAGACAGACAGCAAGTTTTTGCTCAAGAGCGGCCGCTTTGGCGCAAGTTCGCGCCAGTGTAGACACAGCCACTCAGAAGAAGAGGAAAGCTCTGAAGATGGTACAAGA